AAACTGGAATCTAATCCTCTCTTGAAGATTTACTGAAAACAGGGCATCAAACAAGTATCATTACCTCAATATACCTCAGTTTCCTCAACTATTCCTCAACAGAATGCAGTATTTCTGTAAAGCAACTAGCATAATGACTGGAGCATAACAATAGCAGCTGTCCTATAATTTTTTTTTTTCTCCTGTTTCTACCAAAAAATTAAGGTAATTGTGTGATAGGTTGTGAAACAACAATATTGCAGAATAATAACTATGCTGAGTAAAAAACTGACACCAAAACTAACGTAAAAGAAAAATTATGCTTATTTTTTAATTATAACATTAACACATTATTGTGGCAGAAAAAGCGAAAAAAAAAATAAGAGAAAGTATGAATAATAAAATAAAAATCCCATAATCCTACAACCAGATATAACCACTATAAATATTTTTCCTTATTTGGCTATTGTATGTAATACATAATTGAATTAAACATATAGAGTCGTTCCCTATATTTTTTCCCTCGAATTTACACTTCAAAGGTCATTAAAAATACCAGCACACATCATTTTTAAATAAAAAATATTTTATCAAGTGGAATACCATATTGTTTAATTAGTCTTCTATTCATAGAAATTTAATTTCTTTCTAATCTTTCTTTTCTACTAAAAATATTGCTACAATAAACATGCCTGCATATACATCATAAGATCTGATTTTTTTTTTAAAGTGTCTATGAAACGCAAACTTAAGAACTGGTAAAATTGGCATAAATGTGGATTATAATGTACTCTATCCTGATCAACCCCAAAATACACTGAAGTGAAACCTGATTTTCATCTTTGTCATGTGGTTTGGTGAATGTGGCATACCCACTGTGGTGGGTTAAAAAGATATGTCCACTTAGAAATTGTGAATGTGGCTGTCTTAGCACAGGCTGCTATAACAAAATACCAAAGACTGAGTGGCTTAAACAATAGATGTTTATTTCTCACAGTTCTAGAAGCTGGGAATGTTAAGATCAAGGTACCAGAGATTTTATATCTTGTGATGCTAGCTTCTTGGCTTGTAGACAGACACCTTCTCACCATGTGCTCACAGAGCCTTTCCTTGATGGGTGCTCATGAAGAAGAAAGAAAGAAGAAGAGAAATAGAGACAGGGATAGGGAGACAGAGAGAGATAGAGGGAGGGAAACATAAAAAGGAATGAGAGAGAGAGAGAAAAGGAGGGAGAGAGAGAATCTCTTCTTATAATGGCACTAATCCCATTATACAAGTCTCAACGTCATTACCTTCCAAATATCCTCTCTTCCCCCCAAATACCACTACACCGGGTGCTAGGGCTTCAACATATGAATTTGGGAGGAGGGAAGACAGAAATATTCAGCCCATAAGTGTAACCTTATTTGGAAAAAGGGTCTTTGCAGATGTAATTAAGGTAAGGTTCTTGAGATGAGATCATCCCAATTAGGGTGGGTCCTAAATTCAACAACTCATGTTCTTAGAAAAGAAGACTAGGGAAAAGGATATGCAGGGGGAAAGACCCTGTAAAGACTGAAGCAGAGAATGAAGTGATGTGTCCACAAGCCAAGAAATGCCAAGGACTGCCAGCAGCCACTAGAAGGTAGGAGACATGGAATGAATACTCTCTCAGAACCTCTACAAGGAACCAACTTTGCTGACACCTTGATTTTAGACTTCTGAACTTCTGAACTGTGAGAGAATTAATATTCCATTGTTTTAAGCCACCAAGCCTGTAGTGTTTTGCTATGGCAGCCCTAGAAAACTAATATACCCTCCAATCACATTTTAAATCAATGTCCATCCTTGTTCCAAAAGTTATATCGTCCATTTTCCATCAAACTCCTCTGAATTGCCCCATTAATATTTGGTCATCTATTATTTTATTTTTTTAAAAGCACTATGAACATCACCTTACTTAAATGTTGCTTCCATTAATAATAAACTAGTAGCACTAATACATTTTTCCTACTTAGTTATAAGATCCTACTTATATAAGAAGGCAGGAGCTGTATCTTAAATGTCTTTGTTGCCATTCATTCATTTATTCCCCTAATAGGAGGGTATTTCAAAAAGCGTGTGGAAAAATAGAATTAAATATCAATAGAAATCTTTCCATGAACTGTTTGAAGTACTCTTGCATAGGGCTATATACAGTGCATGATTTAATAATTTCCCACTTAATTAAAGGAAGAATAACTAAAAACTTTTATTACATGTTAAGTCACCCTTATGGAATGGTTTAGAATACTAGTGGGATCATTTTAAGATCTACAATTTTCCCTCCTCTTAAAAGTTAACTCTGGTCTTCTTCATATCTTCATTCCTTACTATTCTAAAAGAACAACACTTACTGTCAATAAACTTAAAATCTACACTTGGAACCTAACAATATTCAAGATACAGTAAGAATCACATAAGTTAGAAGGGATACCATAGGACAAGGCACTAGCAAAACCTCTTCTGTAGTGCTGAAGTAGGATGTGGTTACAAATAAAAGCAGTTCATTACATCATGTTTGCATTATGTATTATAGTTACTTAAGATATAGTCATTTAATAATTTTCACAATTGCCTGAAAAAGAAATGGTATTAAACAAAAACTCTAGGTAAACAACATACCTGAGTTCGTAAAATTTCACTTTTTGACAACTGCATATCACCAGTCAATTCTTTTACAATGATGCCCAGTGGCTCTAGACGTTTGCTGAAGTAATTCGTCATTTCAGCTGCCAAGGCTTTCATTGGAGCAACATATACAATCTGCACCAAAGAAACATTAGCTTGATGAATGAACAAAAACTACAATGTCATTTGTTTAACAGTGGCCAATACAAGTCTCGATTTATTGTGAAATATGATTCTAGCTACTTCCAATGAAAAATCTTAATAGTGATATATGAAAAGTACTTATCTTTGTTGGATAAGTGTGTAGCTGTTTAAGGACAATGCAATTTGTTTACACAGCCTCACGACTTTGAAAATTGGTTCTGCTTCAAAGCTAAAAGAATTTTCATAGCTTTTCACAAGCATAATAGGATTTTCATAATACACATAGGAGCCACCTTAACAGTAATGAAATAAATCAAACATCATTTTTTCCATAACTTCAAGTACAATATTCTTAAGAACTTCCAGATTTCAAATAACAAATACAACTGCAAACTTATTTTGATTTTCACAATTTAAAAAGCTGTTGTCTGGTTTGTTATTTTCGTACCTTAAATTCATTCTTTTTGATAACACCTTGTTGAAAATGTTGGCGAATTTCATGCAAGACTGTAAGCATCGCAATGTTGGTCTTTCCAGCTCCAGTAGGGGCACAAATCAGCATGTTCTCATTGGTGTTGTAGGCAGTTTCAAACACTATTGACTGGATTCTATTGAGTCTCCTCATTCCTTTAAAAGCCAGCTGGCCGATCTATAACAAAGCATGACCCATTATAGATAATACTATGAAGAAACCATACAAAACTTTAAATGCAAACATTTACTTCCTTCTGTTAAAAGAAAAAGACTCTCAATATGTCCTACATTTAAACTATAATGTATGCAGTTGAGAACTCACAACTATTGTAAGATTCTAATGCATTTGGGAACTGCAACTCACTAAAATAGAAAAATATGATAAGGAGACTATACCAGCATCTTTGTTCAAAATCACTGAGTACAAAATAATGATAAATAATGTAAGAAAACAAAATTAAAAACAAGTATTTTTTAGTTCATATTCATTTATAAGTTTCATGATAATGTTCTAGTTTATTAAGATTAAAGATAACTAATGAAAGAGCAAACAAGAAACTCCCTAAAGATATAAATCAATAGGAAATTCTATTTCAAAATTCTATAAAGAAAACAAAACACAAAAAACCCCAGCAGTAATAGCACAAACAACAGCCACAGACTACATTTATACAGAGTTTACAACACAACGTGCACAGTTGTAGAAACTTTATTATTTCTTCATTTAATGCTCAAAACTATTCTATGGTGTAGGTACTATCATTACATTTCTTTAACAGAAAAGAAAACTAAGACAAACAGTAGTAGCTAAGTAATTTTTCCTAAAGCCATCCTCCATAAGTCCTAAGAGATGAGGACTAAAATGTCTGGGAGCAAACAAAACCCTGGTTGGGATTAATGACAGAAAACTGAAATGGCTATACCAAGGTCAGAAAAAATAAATTTCAAAGCCAAGAATATTACCAGCAATAAAGAATGTCAGGGCTGGCTGGTTAGCTCACTTGGTTAGAAAGTGGTGCTGATAACACCAAAGTCAAAGATAACACTTGGATTCCTGTACCGTCCAGCCACCAAAAAAAAAAAAAAAAAAAAAGTCATTTCATTATGACAAAGAGGTGAATTAATCAATATGATATAACAGTCCTTAACATTTATACACCTAAGCAGATCTTCAAAATACATAAGGCAAAAACTGTGGACATATAAAAGGAAACAGATGAATCCAATACCCCTCTCCAAAAGCTGTAGAACAAATGGCAGTGAAAATCAACAAGGCTACAGTAGACTTGAACAGCACTGTCAACCAACTTGAGCTGACTGAAATTTATTCATCTAACACTAGAAAACACATTCTCCTCTAATGCTCTTAAAACATTTATTAAGATATACCATATTATGGGCCGTAAAACAAGCCTCAATAAATTGAAACGGAAGCATATCAAACAAAATATGTCCTTTGACCACAATAAAATTAAATTTGGCATCCTTAGTAGAAAGATTCTTAGAAAATACCTAAATATTTGAAACTAAATAATACGCTTCCCAAATAACCGAACGATGAAAAAATAAATCAAAAAGGAAATTAAGAAGTATTCTTAACTCAGGGAAATGAAAATTCAATATATTAGAATTTATAGCTGCCACAAAAGCAATACTTACGGGAAAATGTGTAGCACCAACTATGTATATTAAAAAAAATTAAATGTTTCAAATAAATGACTTCATCATCGAGAATAAAAAATTTAAAAAAGAGAAAATCAAAACCAAAGAAAGTAGAATAAAATAAATAATAAAAGTCAATTAAATAAAAAACATTAAAAATTGATTCTTTGAAATTGATAAAATTGACTAATCTCTAGCTAGACTGATCAGGAAAAAAACAGAAAAGACACAAACTACCAATGTCAAAGAATGAGAAAGTGGCATCACTACAGATGCTACAGATATTAAAAGCATAGTAAGGGAATATTATGAACAATTTTACGACAATAATTTTGATCACTTAGATGAAATGGGCAACTTTCTTAAATGATGCAAATTACCAAAGTCCACTCAAGAAGAAATATACAACTTAACCCTGCATCTATTAAAGAAATTAAGTGTGGGATTAAAATCCTTTTCAGAAAGAAAACTCCAGGCCCAGATAGCATCATTGGTGAATTCAAACTAACATTTAAGGAGGAAATAATACCAGTTCTACATGGTGTTTTAGACTATCTAAAAAAACGTAGAGGACATAATATTTCCCAACTCATTCTATTAGGCCAGCATTTCCCTGATACCAAAACAAGACAAAATAAAATTACAGACCAAAATGTCTTATGAACACAGATTTACAAAATATTACCATATCAAATCCTACAACACAATAATAGATTACTACCAAGTGGGGATTATCACAGGCATGCAATGTTGGTTTAGCATTCAGAAAACATTCATAGTAATTCACAATTAATAATAAACTAAAATAGGAAAACCATATGGTCACTTCAATAAATGCATTAGATGAAACCACACATCCATCTGATTAAGAAACTAAAACAAAACTCCTAGCAAACTAGAAGTAGAAGAGAAGCCTCAACGTAATGTAAAAAAACACTGCAGCTCCCATCATACTTAACAGTGAAAGACTGAATGCTTTCCTCTAAAATCAGGAGTAAGATAGAGATTTTATACCCACCACTTAAGATTGTATTGGAGGCTCTGGTCAGTGCAATCAGGAGGAAAAGAGAAAAGAATAATAAAACAGGCGGGGGGGGGGGGGGGGGATAATTAGGGAAAAAAAAAAAAAAAAATTTTTTTTTTT